CTGGATCTCTATGGACACAAAAGTACTGAGTGTAGTGAGGTCCTGGCTTCTTAAAGTCCAATATAAACTTGTCCTTATGAGCTTTGATCCAGATCCTCTAAGGTATTTTGGCTCCTAACTTTCATTAAAACCAATACCTAAGTACCTTTGACTATATGAGTCTGTCTCTTTCCACTGCCTGCCTTTCCCTCATCATTCCTTATATTTTGCATGGTTTGCTGCAGCTGTGATTTCTAAATATGGACCAAAACTAGAATTACATGTTTAGCAGAACTGCTGACATTTTGGTGGATTAAACAGAAGAGGGATTGAATAGACTTCCTACACTTTGATTTTGCAAAATCTAGAGGCCAATGCTTTGTGAAACCCAAACTAAACCTCCTGGGTCCAGCTTTAGAGTTTCTTCCCGGCAGTGACCAGGCTGAGAAATGCAACCTGTAACAGGACAGATTGGGAAACCAGTGAGAAACTGTAAATTGGTTTTCTTCCTGTTTTAGGATTTGCTAATGACTCAGCAGAACTTTGGTGCTTATTCAAAACCTTTTGATGTGCTAATAAATCATAGAAATGTGTCAGTCGAACACATTTAATCCTTCCGGTGAAAACTGAAACTAGACCCACTTCCTCAGATCAAATAGTGGAAGAAAGTAGTCACAACCATATATACCAAAGGATACAATTTAAAAAAAATGAACAAATATGAAAAGGACAAATCACATTGCAGAACAGAAGGGGGATGCGGGGGGGTGGGAAGGGGGAGGAAGGAAGGTAAGTGTCTGTGAATTGCTGATATTAAAGGTAGGGAGAGTGGGATGTTTGTGAGTTAATGGTATTACAGGTGATAATTGGGGAAACTGTCTTGGTAATGGGTGAGAAAGTTCAAAGACTTGTTAAGTCCTTGTTGGTAAGTGTCGAATTTTAACATGAATGACAGTTCAGAGGATTCCCTTTCAAGTGCAGATGTAAAAGGTCTTTGTAGCAGAATGCAGGTGGCTAAGTCATTTAGAGAGTGTCCTTTCTGGTTAAAGTGGCAAGAAACTGTTTTCTCTTTGTGATCTTGTCTGATATCTGTTTTGTGGGCATTAATCCTTTGGCGAAGTGTCTGAGATGTTTGTCCAATGTACATAGCAGACGGACACTTTCGGCACATGATAGCGTAGATTATATTTCTGGATGCGCAGGAATATGTGTTCTTGATCTTATAACTCACTTGGTTAGGTCCAATAATGGTATCAGCAGAATGAATATGTGGACAAAGCTGGCAACGGGGTTTGTTGCAAGGGAAGGTACCAGGGTTGGTATTAGTGTGGTATGTCCTGTGGTTGTTGGTAAGAATCATCTTGAGGTTAGGTGGCTGTCTATAGGAGACTATGGGTCTGTCTCCAAGAGCCTCTTGGAGTTTAGTATCCTATTCCATTATAAGTTGTAGTTTATTGATAATGTGTTGGACAGGTTTAAGTTGGGGGCTGTAGGTGATGACAGGTGGTGTTCTATTGTTAGTTTTCTTGGGTCTATCTTGAAGTAGTTGGTTTCTAGGTATTCGTCTGGCTCTTTCAATTTGCTTTTTTATTTCTCCGGGTGGGTAGCTGAGATTTATAAATGCTTGGTAGAGATCCTGAAGTTTCTGGTCTCTGTCAGTGGGATTAGAGCAGATGCGGTTGTATTTTCATGTGTGTTCATTTTTTTAATGGTATCCTTTGGTATATATGGTTGTGACAATTTTCTTCCACTACTTGATCTGAGGAAGTGGGTCTGGCCCACGAAAGCTCATCCCCTAATAAACCATCTTGTTAGTCTTTAAAGTGCTACATAGTCCTGTTTTTTGAAACCAAAGTGGCATTTAACACTTTGGCCGAGGCTGCATTTTCTATTGCCTTTCCTCTTGCTTCTAATGTGTAAATATACTGATGATTCTGTGGCTGCATCTAGAAACTGAATCCTTTGCCATTGGTGTTACACGAGTCACTATTCAGTGCTTCAGGTACAACACTGGCCTGGTAACACTTGGGTTCACGCACTAACATTGTTCTGAGAGCGTATTTCCCATGGATTTTGACTGTCCCCTTCCTAGAAGCAGCTATGACTAGTTAGGGTAACTCTTCGGAAAGTTTTCAGGAAGCTAATTGACATAAACCCAAGCTGTCAATTATCTTACCAGGTTGTACACCTGATGGTGCCATCCACTAGGGATGAAGACTATCTCCCCTGCTTCCTGGATGATTTCAATAGGGGGGCAGCTTTGGGCAGAGCGTGGGTAAACACGGCTGTCCTGAAGGGCAGGCGTAGTGATGTCGAAGGGCAAGTGACCATGCCGATCTCTAAGATTCTCCTCCTGCCTCGGGGGGAAAAGCAGCCATTTCTTTTTCCCGCAGATATTGGCAGACCAGCTGTAGGAGCGGAAGACGTCGGCGTGAAAAGGAGTCCTGTGGGCCAAGTCAAAGACTGAAGCATGTTTGGCACAAAAGGTGAACACATTGCAAACCAGGATAAAAGAAGAAAGACTGTGGGTATTTTTGGCTTCAGATGAGGGATGTAAGCGACTAGTCGACTCCCTGATGAGCATATGCTTATCCGATAGCCAACGAGCGACTTGACTAGTCGCTTCTAGGCATGTTAAATTTCGATGCATTCATTGAATAGTTGATGGGATTCCCACTGACTATTCGATTAGTCGATGAGGGCTAGCGTGGCGTTCCGCCTCTGAAATGTACAAGAGCCGCAGTGGGGACTCTTGTGCATTTCAAAGATTGAAACGCCACGTGAAACCCAGGGCCAACGGGGGACGCCTTGCTGGCCCCAGGCTCCATGCCGCACTTCTTCTTTGAAACAGACAAGAGCTCCTTTTCGCGGAGCTGGAGGGAAGTGGATTTTAAGCTCGCTCCCCGCAGCGCCCTGTCTTCTTCCCCCGCCTTACTGCCTGTTTCTGATAGAGGCAGCAAGGGAGGGAGGGTGCCACTAGTTGACTAGCATGTTGACTATCCGATAAGCTTGTTTATCAGATAGTCGACTAGTTGCTTACATCCCTAGTCGCTTCCCCCCTACACTGCCTTGCTGCTTGTATCGGGGGGAGCAGGAGCAGGTGCCGGGGGGAGCCGGCTTAAAAGCAGGTTCCCCGGAGCACCGTCTCCGTTGGGGTTGGGGGACAGGAGCACAGCAGGGAAATGGCGATGTTTCCACCTTTGACATGTAGCAAGAGTGGGGCTCTCACGACATTTCAAAAGCGGAACCATTATGGGGAGCATGGAGCAAGCAGAAGCCTCAAGCAGTCCCCTGCTCAGCCCATTCTCACAGCAGCATTTCCGCCTTTGAAATGTAGCAAGAGCCGGCGAGCGGAGGCACCCATATCAATCGATTAGTTGGTGGAAATTCCATCAACTATTCAATTAGCAAATGTAACACCCCTGCTTCCAATATACTGTCACAAATCAATCTGAACTGACGCAAGACTGTTGCTCTGTTTGCAATTGTCTTGCATAAAGAGCTAAGAAAGCACCCTGTTAATAGACTGGAGTGGTGAGGGTGGGGAAAATCAGTAATATCTCCTTGTCCAACACCCCATTTGTCTCTTTCAGTCTGAACCTCACGCTTCAAAGACAGCCGATTCTGCAGTTTGGCTGACGCTCAGACTGCAAGGGATGGTTTGTCACCAACAAACAAACATTTTAGATTCAGGCCCAGGCTCAGAATGGTATTTAGACTCCTTCTGCCATCAATGGAAGGTCTGAATTGAAACACTTTTGAGGCTCTGGGCCTTAGTGATTTCCATCTGAGAAGTGCTTACTTAACTCGTCAGCCCCCGGTGAGGATGTAGCTGGCACTGCAGGTTTGAAGAATTCCAACAGTGCTTCGGGGAGGCATAGACAATGTGCTTTCACTGGAATGACTGGGAGTTCAATGACTGTGCTACCTAGACTCCCAGTCATGTAACAGCACCCCGCTGTGCTAGGTCCAATACAAACACACTTACTATCTCCGTAACACACCCAAGTTCTCTCTGGTTTTTTGCCCTCTGGACACACTGAGCTGGAGAACCGAATATGAATGACTAGTTCTAAGTAGGGATGTGAACGACTAGTCGACTATCCGATAAGCAAAGAGCTGGGTTTTTAAAGGCTGCTTAAATACATTTAAAAGGCAGAGCCGCAGTGGGATTCGCTTCCAGGGCCGGGAGCTAACCCGACTGCAGCTCTCCTGCTTATCGACTAGGATGTTAAAAACAGATTCATCAACTAATCGAATAGTCGATGGAATTTCCATCAACTATTCGATCAGTCGATAAGGGCACTTCTGCTTTGAAATGTAGCAAGAGCCCGCCCGGCTGTTGCTACATTTCAAAGGCAAGAGAGCGGGGCAGCATTCTGCCTTTGAAAGTACAAGAGCCTCTGCTGGGCTCTTGCTGATCAAGACAGCAAGAGGGGGGAAGCAACTAGTCAACTAGTGTGTCAATTGTCCGATAAACTTCTGCTTATCAGACAGTCGACTAATTACTTACATCCCTATTATCTACTAGTCGACTAAACTAAACTAAATGTAACATCTCTAGTTCTAACCTCTGTGCCTCCCCTTACCAGCTATGGTTGCAACCTTTAGTTCAGAGTTTGCCGCCCACACTCAGGCAAACCTACTCACTCCTTCTTCCTGTTGAGGACACAGGGTGGGGTCCTGCCGCAGCCAGGCTGCTCCCTTTTCCCAGCTCACTGTGTGTTTCACGACTAGAACCGTGGAAAGAGACGTGGGACACACCAGGGCCGGCAGGCAGCATCCCACGGCCACATTTACTAGACATTTAACTTTGGGGTGGGAACCTTTTCAGGGTCGGGGGCCACTGACCCAAAGAAAAATCAGTTGAGGGCCGCACAAATGTGAATAGCAAAAAGAAAAAAAAAAAGAAAAAGAAAAACCCACCTCACTGATGTGGTCCCCGACTGAGAAGAACAGAGACACACCCTAGAGCCTAGCGGGGCCTGGGCGAGTAGATTTTGTGGGCCCCCTAGGTGCTGGGGTGGGGCCAAAAGTGAGGAGTTCAGTGTGTGGGAGGGAGGCTGCCAGGAAACGGGCTTAAGGTCTGGGGAGGAGGGAGGGTGCAAGAGTGAGTCGGGGGTGGGAGGGTGCAGGAGTGGGCTGGGGTGGGAGGAAAGGTGCTCAGGGGGCTGAGTCGGAGACCGGGTGCAGGAGTGAAGTTGAAGTGTGAGATCTGGGCGGGAGGGGGGTGCAGGAGTAAGCTCCAGGTGGGGATCTGGGCGGGAGGGGGTGAAGGAGCCACTTCCTGCCCCCACCCACAAGTTGGATCCAGATCCGACTTACCCAGCTCTGGCCCGTGAGGCTTGGGGCTTCCTTCCTGCAGCTGGAAGCCAGTGCTGGTGCTCCAGCCCCGCGGTGGGGACTGTGGGGGCCCGCAGTGCTGGAGCACCAGCTGCGGGGGAGGGATGCTTCTCAAGTCTCGGGGCTGGATCCAAGCAAGCCAGGGGCTGCATTCGACCCCCAGGCCTTAGGCTCCCCACCTGACTTAACTCATTTGTGCAACCTCAGCATCCCCATTCCCGTCTTCTCCTTCCCATCCCCTGCTGTGTTCAATTCCTCTCAGTCACATCGGGTCCCTCTTTAGGGCCACGTTCCCTGAGGGGAACAGGGCTGCCTTCTGTTTTACTGGTGTGGCCCTCAGCCCAGCAGGGACCCGACCCTGTAGCTTGGGTACTACAGTAATAATCGCTTACAACCGTGCACCAGAATGAAGAGAAACAAAAAGTCACTTTACCATGAACCCTTAGGTCCCATGTAGACAAATCGATAATCATCCACGCCTCTGGCGTCCCAGTATTCATTGAGCCAGTCCGACGTGAAATAGATGGGGGTTGTATAAACATCTTCCGCCGGGAAAGCCCTTCGAAAGACAGAGCGTCGCGGTTAGGGTTCAGGGGAAAGAAACAATCGATTCATCCCAAACTCTGGCCAGGTGACTGCAGCGCTGTCTCATCCAGGCCATTGCCGCCTTGCTACGTCCCCTGCTACGAGTCACGTGACCCTCTTGGGGCGAGACTGAGAAGGCTTTGCAACACCTAACTTCTGGGGGGGCTGTTGCCTGACGGAATTCACAGCCCGATAGCAGGTGGTTAGGTGCTCTGTGCAATGCCTGGGAGGTCGAGCACCCCAAACACGGGATCAGCAGATGCCAGCTGCTGAGCAGGGAGCCACTTAAGCGAGCCAGGAGGAAATACTGAGTAGAGTGGGACCTACAGGAACCTACGTGCCTAGGGACTTTAGGCACTCACAGGGTCAGGTTTTACTGACCAGCAGGGATTTTGTGAGTGCCAATAACATCTCAATGTTGGATTGAGACATCTAAAAGAGCAGTGAGACTTAACCCTCCCTTGTCAAGATCGCCCTCAGCGCTACACATGGGCGCAAGCATTTTTCTGTCTCACAGGAGAGCTGTGAGGGGCAACTAAATTCCTCTCAGGAAACAAGGGGATGTCTAGACTACATGCCCCTGTCGTCAAAGGCATGTAAATTAGACTCCCCGACACAGTCAATGAAGCAGGGATTGAAATATCCCCGGCTTCACTAAAATAAAAATGGCTGCCGCGCTGTGCCAGCTCAGCTGGTCGTCGGCACAGCGCGGCAGTCAAGACGCAGATCAGTCGACAGGGAACGCCTTTATCGACCGCTCCCTTATGCCATGTGAAACGAGGTTTACAGGAGCGGTCGACAAAGGCTTCCCCTGTTGACCGATCCGCGTCTTGACTGGCGTGCTGTGCCGGCGATCAGCTGAGCCAGCACAACGTGGCGGCCATTTTTATTTTAATGAAGCCGGGGATATTTAAATCCCAGCTTCACTGACTATGTCGGGGAGTCTAATTTACATGCCTTTGGCGACAGAGGCGTGTAGTCTAGACATACCCCAAATATCCTCTCCGGTAAGAAATCAGCCCGACTAGTCAGTCATCTCACTTGGTTCACAGATTTGCCAAAGCCAAAGCTGGATTCATCGGAGGCTATTCAAAGGTGTTTGGCAGTGCTTCTCCAACTGTGGCCCACAGCACTTTGGCCAATATAAAGGTGCTGCCTCATTTCCAGCTGCTGCCACTTGTGAGAAGTCACTGCCACAAAGCTGGAGAATCAGTCCCGAACTTGCTCACAGAAAACTCGAATCACTCACAGAGCTCCTAGCCATGAGCAGAAGCCATTGAAGGCAGATGGAAGGCAAGAGCAGAGGGAGAGATGCACGATGGCTGGATTGGGAAAGGAGAGGAGGGTGCATTTAGGCAGCATAGATGGGTCAGAGGAGGAACAGGGAAACTTGTGCATGGGGAGATAGGAACAGAGCAGATCAGAAGGGAAATTTAAATGAAGAGCAAAAAAA